TACGCGAAATCCGTCGTACAGAGGGATCACATTTGATGTTAGCAAGGGTTGTATAAATGCATGTCTTCCGGCGTCTCCTTACACCATGCTACAATTTAAATAAAACCTTAAAAAAAAGATAATTACTATGAATGTAGTCACCAACAATAGCTGTGAAAATGAGAACGGTGTCTGTGTTGAACATTGCTCTTTTGATGCATCCAATTCAGGTTCGGTCCCTTTCCTTATTACTTTCCCTCGAGCTCGGTCTCTTTCCTTTGGTTGACGTCAAACTTACCTGCATTTACGTTCAAGTGAAATCATAATTTGAATTTGGTTTCTAATACAATTGAGACGCGAACAAACAAAAACAAACCACTGATTTATTTGATGACAACTCCAGTGGACTTTTTCTCCGAAGTCTCAAGGGTGTACCCTTTCTCTTTATGCATTTTGGATCTCGTATGTTGTCACTGGCAGTAGTTTGACTATCAGTAAACTGAGAGGATAAATGTATAGTATGCTATGAAACGATGTTACACCCACTTGACGACTTCTTAGACATCAACTCTGTAGTTTGCGATTTTATCCAATCCAATATTGCACATGTTCGCCCTTCATCATCTGTATTAAGGTTAGCCAACTCTGCAAAAGGATGACACATACTGTCATATCTCAAAAATCCTGGAGTACTAACCAAACCATCATAATTCACGGAAACCCTTATGTGTGCTCTGTTGACATCTTTCTTCCACGTACGCAATGTGTATTGCTCAGGTAACTATAAAACACCATTCCAAATCAAACCACAATAGCATGCCTGCAAATAATACCTCGAAATTCGAACAAGTGGCAGCTGTATATAAATTCACAGCTCTCCCTCTTAAGTAAGATATAAAAAGTCTTTTACTTCCTTTCGTTTTCACAGGAGACATCCTCATGGAGCTCATACATTATCCTAGAAGGTTCCTCCGAATTAGACATGAGGTTGTAATATACTTTACCCTTGAACTCATCTTGGACTTCCCTGAACTTCGCAATGGTATAAACGGATTAAAAATGCTTTTCAATTTCATAATTCGTTGCACACGGTACAATTTGTGAGTATGACCTGAAATCAACCTGGACCTCCTTCTCAACGTTACTCCTCGGTGCTCGTTCGTACCGTTTGACAAACTGTTTCAAAGAGGTCCTGGAATGGACATAACCGTCAAAGAACGCGTTCATACTCTCACTTCGTTGAGTTGTGGACATCCCAACCCAAAAAGTAGTCTTCAAAAAACATGGAACCCAACGACCTCTATTATCGTACAATCCAGACAACCAAGCATTATCAAGCAACTTATACGTATCGATCATTTGTTTCCAACCTTCTCCGAATTCTTCAATAGTCTGTGAATCATAAACCAAGTGGTATATAGTTGAAAATATCGAATTTTTATCAACGTGATAGCCAAACTTCTCCAACAACTTCTTCAAAATGGGCGACATACACCACATGTACTTTGTATATGGGAAAACGATCTCAATTACATTTTGCATGGTCCTATCTTGATCAATAATTATTTCATGTGGTGCTTGACCGTGCATGCACTGAAACCATGCCCTAAACAGCCAGACAAAGGTATATGTGTCCTTGTTCGATAACAATCCACAATCAAACAATGTTTATTGCCCATAATGATTCACACCTACAAAAGGTGCGAATGGCATGTTGTTTTCCCAGATACAAAGCACATGGGCAATAAGTACGACCTTGTAGTTATCCAAGCGGATACAACCAGCAGTATAAACATGAAAACTGGAGATTGATTCTAAGAAATCTGAACTACTTTGAGTTCCAAGTCGCGCTAGTGAATCTGCTACCTAGTTAGCTCTCGATAAATATGTGATACATCAATAGACATAAACTGAGCAAGCTCCAAATAGTGATTAGTGTATAGAGATACAATACTATGAATGGGCTACAGAGACTATATATCAGTTAACTCCAGCAAGTTCCGCAAAAATAGCAGCAGCTCGAATTTTTAGACCTTAAATATAATTTCATTCGGTATCTTCTTTGATTAATTACTTTATAACCCAAAAAATTAAATAAAAATATAATACAAGAACCTACACTCAGACTTTTGCCGAGCCAATCGAATAGTGCGACCCGTGCGTGTGATTTGAACCCAATGGTATGTAAGCCCCTATTCGACTACCATTATTTGAAAACTCTTTTTTTTTTCACATACTTATTTTCAACCACACATTCACAATAAAATATTCTGCGTATAAACTCAACTTTTCTCTACTTTTTAACCATACATTCTCATAAAAATCACTATTAAAAATAATGTTTTTTTCTCAAATTGGGGCAAGTCGTCTCCACTTTTCATAGAATTTGACTTGAGTTTCATTACATTTGAATAACATTTTCAGTTTACCTTCCTAGTTTAATTTTTATTTTTGTCCCTATAATGTAAGAGTGCTTGCCAGCTCAGCATTTTGTAAAGGAAGTATATAAATTTGTACAAGCAGCTTTATTCCGTAAATATGCCATGTCAATCAACTCATGGAGTAGAGATTGATATAAGTATTGAATCTTGATACGTCTATCTTTCTTTTTCTTCAATGCAGTGAAAGGAAAAACCTCAATGCCAGGAATTTTGCTTATATCTCTTGATGATACAGATTGCAACCTTGGGGTCTTGAGAACTTATCAAGATTGAATACTTATACGAAATGAATTTATAATTTATTTTACGAGATTTCCTTATGTTTGATTGTATTACCTTCGTCATCTAGTTAAATGTTTCAATATTTAAGGTAATGGCTATAGGTGTGGAACCCAATATTAACAATTTAGTTGGAAAAAGTTAACATTAATGTTGAGTTTTTTCCCGTGAATTCTGGTTTGATCAATTT